TTTCTTGTTGATTCAATTTTGGATTAAAAAAACAACCAAAATATATGGCAAAAAAATACTTGCAACTTGAATGTTAGAGGAAAATCAGAAAAGATAACCATGAGAGAGAAAAAAAATTAAATGGGAGAGAGAATTAACAATTTGAAAAGATAAATATGAGAGAGAATAATTTTTTTTTTCTAAAAAAAGGATATATAGAATTAATTGAAAAAGAGAGATAAAATAGGAAGAAAATTGGGACACATAAATTTTTTAAAATAATGACATTTTTGACATTATTGCTAATATTTATAAAGTATGGATATTTTTACTAAATATGTTATTTATTTTGACTAGTTTACTAATTTTTCCTAAAAAGAAATTGGGTCAAGCTTACTTTGGGCACAAATATGTTAAAAAACGAAAAAAATTAAGTTTACTTTGGTTTTAAATAAGTTTGGCTCAAATAAGAGTATCATCTCGGAAAAACTACATAAATGGGTCATAAAACTCAAAATAATTACATGTGCATACCTCAACCCAAAGTAATTCAAAAAATATGCATTCTCTAAAAATAAAAAATATAGATAGTTCATACCGTCATTCATTAAGGCTGATAATTTCGATTTAACTGATGTTCAATTAGTATCATATATTGTATTGTATTATTACGACTGATAATTTTGCTTAATTGATACTAAATCAGCATATATATATACTGATTTAGTATAAATTTAGCAAAATTATTCAATGATACTATAAGAGTATATGTATATTGTTATGGTATTGTTAAAATTTCTTATTCAGAAATTACTCATTAGTTAATAATACGATAAAATTATTCATATCACTATCATCTAATTCACCGAATAGATATTACAGTTCATCAACATAAAAATTGAATAACTATATGTATTAAAATAAGAATGATGAGATGGATAAAAATAAATTACTTTGTATATTTGATAATACTGAAATTTGATTAACTTGTGTGATCTGTTCAAGCAAAAACAAACTGATCTCTTATTCAAAACTATGTTAGCACTAAAAACAAAAGAAAAATATAAAACTCGTGATTAATCGATCGCTAAATATTCGAAATAAATATTTTTTAAAATCAATTACTTATTCATCATTCAATTAGATTATTATTGATAGACTTCTTCAATAGAAATTATTTATTGATAATTCATACATATATTAATCTTTTTTACTAAAAGATTATAACACGCATATATATATATATATTCTTGAAACAAGAAAAACAAAAGAGATATTTAATTTGAAGCTTCCAAATATGATGTTTCCTTGAAACTTCTTTTATTTCTACAAAGGGTAACTGTCACCCTCACTTCTGAATATTATCATTACTTTACGTACGTATTTGGTTTTTCTATATATACTACAAGTTCAGGAATATAACATTCTAATTAACTTTATAATATACCATTTTTGTTAACAACTCCATCTTTATAAGTTTTTTTTTTTTAAAATCTCCAATAATCCTCTCACTATCACATGATCTGTAGGTAAAAAGGCATGTCTTATTTATGTAAAGACTATTATGGTAACAATATGTCGAGATCATTATGAGTAGGCCAATAGTGAAAGAAATTGGGCCAAAAAGACTTTAAAAATTTAGGTTAGGGCGTCAGTTTAAGACAAAATCTGAGTGAGGTGAAGTCTAGGCCATCAAGGAATGGGTGGTGGTGATATGTCAAGGTGATTATATTTTCTAATAGCCAAGACATTAAGGAACCTATAGCGGGTGTCGTTATAACGGGTCAAATTGTTATAGCTGGGTAAGTCAAAATTTTATGCAGAGAAAGTCTCAAAACCTCCTATGTTTGCGACATTATGTTTGGGTTCGAGGGAGAAAGTTATAACGGGTCAAATCATTATAGCAGGGTAAGTCGAAATTTTATGCAGAGAAAGTCTCAAAACCTCCTATGTTTTGCTACATTATGTTTGGGTTCGAGGGAGAAAATTAGGACAGTTGTTTTTACTTAATTTTCCACCAAATTCATCGATAAAGGTAAGTTAATTACTCCCCATCTTTTAAATTGATTCTTAAGCCTTATAATCTAAGATATTACTCTTCGGGGAGGATTTTGACTTGATTAAATGATAGAAAAGTCCCTGGATCGGATAGAATGCTCATGAATTGGCATGGGTTGGAATTTAGTATAATTCAAATATTACTTGGTCATCTTTTGTTGATTGTTGTATGTATTTATTGTTTTAGATCAAGAATAAGTCAAGACATTGAACAATGGAAAAGCTCGGGTTTTGTTAAAGTTTTAAAGAGGCTTGACTTAAGGTAAGTGAGGTAAGTTAAAATTCATCATATAAATAGAAACGGAAACTAAACTCTTACCAATACAGAAATGTGTCATTTCTTTTGAAATTTACTAAGAGGAATGTGAGTAATATTAATTTGACAGAGTAATTTCTTTTGTACCATGTGGCATATTAGGGAGTAAATAGTTTCAAAAATCCATATTTATAAGGACAATTAAAGACTCCTCATAATTAAATAGTTTCAAAAATTAATGTTTAAGGGGGGATAATTAGGACTTCTCACTTAAAATAATTTAAGTGTGCATTTAACAAAGAGAAAAGACATAAAGTCACTACTGAAGTTGTTACGTATTTTTATAAAGACACCTTAACTTTGAAAGTGTTCTATCACCCCACATAACTTTTTAATATCTTCATAAGTGGGTCATTTTAACTCATTCCTTCATCCGGGTTGACGCGCGTGATGCTCACTCTTTTCAACACGTTTAGCCCGATCCGATTCTTTAATAAAGTAGAAAAATCTTTTTGTCTTTGTTATTTTTTAACTTTCCAAGTTCTTGATATTTTCTTCTCTCTCTCTCAAGATTCTTGTTTCTGCACAAAAGTAAAAGTAAGAAGAGAGCCAATCTTCTCTTGGGGAAGCTTTCATCAGAGGTTGGATGGAGCCATTTTTTATAAAATCAAGGAACTCGAGAACAAGAGGAAGGAGAGAGCTCAGGTAGCATACGATAGGAGAAAGAAGATTGATAAATCATCTAAATCTCGACCTTTTTCTTTGTTACATTGTCTTTCTGAGTGGTGTATTTTCAGTTTAGCATTGTTTCTCCGACTCTTTTGTCCTTCATTATTTTCTTAAACGAAATTAAATCTGAAACTTTAAGTGATCTTGAAGAAAAAAAATCGTTTCACTGAAAATTAAAAGAGAAAAAGAATTCTTATCATATTGCGTTTCGGGAAGATGATGAATTCGTTAAAGAGAGTACCAATGTTGATCTTGTTTTGGAAAAAATAAAGAAGATGAGATCATCAAAAGTGGGTTATCAATGGCTCTTTTGAGTTTTAATTTGGGGAAGATGATGTAAATTAATAAAATATTTAATGATAGAGAAATAAAGTGACACGTGGCACTTCTAAACTGGTTAATGACATTTAAAACATTACATCACGCTCCTCATGTGCGTGGTCACAACACAGAATAGAGAATGGGTCAAAATGCCCCATTTATAAAGATATTAAAAAGTTTTATGGGGTGATAAGACACTTCAAAAATTAAGGTGTCTTTATGAAAATACGGGACAACTTCAGTGGTGAGTTTGTCTTTTCTCTTTAACAAAATATGTCAAGTTTAAAGAGATTTTTAACAATTAACTCCGAAAGTTATTCACATAAAGTAAATATGTCTACTTCTTTAATCATATAGTACATAATATCAGTTGAAATATGCATACGGTTTTACTGGTTATTGATGTTAAAAAATAGAAGACATATCTTAGTTTAAATGATTAATGTATATTTTATGTTATGATTGCTTAACAACATGCACAAGAGTATTTTCAATATTTTGAATATGAGGTATTTAATTTGAATATTTTATTATGTATTCAAATATTTAGTTAAAATATCATCATAATTTAAGCGTCTAAATTAAATTTATCAGTTGTTTGAGGACTGACAATGTACTTCACCAAACTTAAATTTACTGGTAAGTTTAATTTGAACATTTCATCGTGTGATTTTCACTTTCGCATATCGTTTTTTAATTACTAAATGCATTAAAACTTTATACATTATTAGTATATGTGAATTTTTATAAATCTAGGTCATTTTGAAAGAATATTTGTCAGCAAATTACTTTCTTAAAATTAATGAGTAATATACACATTACTGGCTTCACTTATTTTATTAAAATTAAGATATTTAAATTCTAATAAGTTGTATTTTAACCATATATCAATATATGATGACAAATTTGTATATTAAAATATTACATGAAAATTTGAATTCGACGCAATTAAAATTGTTCGCTATTTGACCTCTAGAATGTATTAATTTTTTCTTTAATAGAAAAAAAATGAATATTAAATTAATCTAACAGTTTATGAACAAAATATTTTTAAAAATTTATATGGAAATTTGGTGGTGATCATTATTATTTTCTTTTGTCCAATAATATTTGTTCATGATTGACTTTGCACACTTCTTACGAAACTATAAATAGAAGGATAATTTTACTATATTACCTTTTTAATTTGATGTAATAAATATAATGCCTTAAAAATGTAATAGGGAAATAACTATTATTAATGATAAAATAAATTAAAAATTAAATGTGAAGCATTATCTATTGATTTTATAAAATAAACAAGTATTGTTAAATATTTCAAAACAATACAGTGGTTATAGTTGTCGATAGGGGCTGGTGTTGGCTAATAGTGTGTAGTGAGTAATATCTATTTGTAATGGTAATCGACTGTGATGATTGATGATGGTAAACTAATAAGTGTGATATTTTCTCATTTGGCGTTTAATACCACTTTAATATCTGACTAATTTAAATTTAAAAATAAATTACTTTCTTTTTAAAGATGATTAAAAATTCAAAAATTACGATAATTGAAATGACAACTACTAAAATGATAACTTCAGTACTTATCAATCCAACATCTTTAGTGCCCCATTATTTAATCCTTAATTTGACATTCTTGTTTGTCTTCATACATCTTAATCTGTTTTGAAATATTAGTTTCAAACTTATTTCAATCAAAATATCTAAATGGTTTATGGCAACTCATAATCGGTGGCGGAATCAAAACTTCAATTAAGGAATGTTAAAATATAAAGAAGTAAAATCACGTAGAAATTAAGGAGTGTCAATATGTGATATATATACATAAAAGATATTTTCAATCTAATTACATAACGTAATTTTTTGACAAAGAGATGCCGATCGACACCCTCAACTACATGTGGCTCCAACACTGCTCATGGTATTAGCCAGCTAATTGATATATAATGGTGGGTACAAGTGTTCAGTTTAGAATAGTTCAAAAGTATATTTGTAGTGGTATAACTTAATTAGTGATCTAAAATTAAAATTTAATAAGGGCTCTAAGTTAATATTAAATGTAGCTTAAAGAGGTAAAATAGCTTATTTCAAATGATTCAGGAGTACTTATTTGTAATCTTAAACAAATCATACTATTTCTACTAATTATTTTTTAAAAATCATTAAGAATAAATGAAAATTTCAAAAATTGAATAATATAGAACATATAATCATTTAAATAAGTAATAAAAACTAGTATTACATAATATTATGTACCACTATTATTATATTTTGAACTAAAATAAGTAATAAGTATGTATTTTAAGCCCACTTATCAAAAATTGTCACTTATCTATCAATTTTATATTGTGTGTGTTTATTCGATTGGACACAAATTCAATGATAAAAAAGAATTTTTTAAATTTTATGATTTTTAAATTAGAAATCTGTATATCATATTATAAATATATATTATTAAATTTTATAGTACGAATTCAGGGGTGGAATCATAGGAGTTCATTCGATTTTTTTTTATGGAAAATTAAGTATTATTTATATATGATTAAAATATTATTTTATTTGTGTATAGTAATTATCGAATTCTTACTATTTTCTATATCACTGTACCAAATGTGACTATGTCATTTATATATATATTAAGGAATATCAGAGAAAACTGAACCTATAAACTTATAAAATATAGAATGATAGAATAATCTTTTTGAAACAGGCAAATTATGTAAGTAGGATACATCTATATAATTACGTGGGATGAATCTGTATATTAATGTTGCGGATGTTTCATGTTTTAATATCTGAATGAATGTACGTACTATGTAGATATTATTTTTATCTTCGTGAGATAAAGAACTTGGGAGGTTATTTTTGATAGATCTTTAATAAATAAGAGTAAAATAATAAGATATAGAGTAAATAAAGTAACAGATAATAATATATCTTGAAGAATAAAAAACTACATGACTACTAGTAATGAGTAGAGGTCTAGAGGGGCTTACTACTGCTGCATAAGGGACGACTACACTGAGATACCAACTAACCTTCTATCCAAATCATCAATCTTCTAATAAACTAAAATTGTGTCAGGCTCTGTCTAATCGATCACGTCTCTTAGTTCTTTTTTTTTTATCCTGCCTCTACTTGTCCTAACTCCAGCTATAGTCAACTTATCACATGCTCATGTTGGCGCATTTGTATATTTCTTCTCCAGTTTTATGAATACTTCAAGACATATTTTTGAGTTTCATTAAATCTACGTACACTCTATTAATTCTCGTAGACTTTGAAATTTTGTAAAATTTTACGAGAAAAATTCAATCTCCATTTGGAGGTTAATCTACCCCAAAAAATTTCACACGCTTATTATAAAAAAGTAAAATATTTTATCAAAGGACTTATGAAAATCTCATAAACTCCTAGAATATTTATAATATATCAAACTATCAGATACTTCCTTGGAATTATTGGCAGATATTCCTTGTAGTCATATACATTTGAAGGAGGTCCTAATCATCCTGCATCCGAAAATTAGATACTAACTAATAACAACAACCAAATCACAAAAAGATTTAAAAAAAAAAAATCAAAAGAGGAACTAACTTATCACAAATATTAATCAATAATTAAAATCTTTGTTTCTTCATATTTATTTATGATTATAATTTAATAATTACTTTAAATTTATTGAAAATAAATTATTTTATTTTTTAACAATTTCTTCTATATAAATTCATATGGTTGATCAATTAGAGCGGTATAGTGCAACAGCAGTTCGAAAAAATGCAATCTCTATTGCCGTAAATTCACGATAGAGATTCTACGATTATTAAATAACTAAATTAATAACATAAAATTGAAATATCATATATTTTAATTATACATGTTATTATCAATTAGAACTTATTTGAGGTTTATGGATTAATAATAACTAATACCATCACTTTTATATAAAGCGATTCTTAACATTAATTAATACTTACAATTAAATATAAAAATAAAATGATTCTACAAATATCTTAGATCATTATTCATTATTCCACCAATCAAATGGAAAGGTGGAAAGATAAACAAGTAGATAAAAGAGGTATTGATCTATCCTTTTGTTTTATTTGGGAAGAAAGAACAAAAGAGGTGTTGGTTCTTTAAAATGAAATAGGAGGGTACATATGTAACGATTCGAACTATCATTATTTAGGAAAGGAAAAATGTCGGGAGAACTAGGCATTGTTGTGACAAAAAGATGAAATCGAAAATCTAACAATAAAGAACACCAAGTTTAACGTGGAAAAATACTTCAAACCGTAGGTAAACACCACAGGATCAACAAGATCTGAGTTGCTTCACTATACCAATAAAAGGGTTACAAATATTGTTCTAATGGCTACACAACAAATGCCAAAAGAGAACAAACAATAGCTACACCAACAAAAGATAAATAGAAAGAAACACCACCCAAACTCAGCTTCTGTTCGGGACCTAAAATAGGATCTTTCTGACCTCCTAATCCGATCTTCACCGTTCATATCAACCACCAAATGTCAGGAACACTCAGTCCAAATTTCAGCCCGATCCAACGATTAGTTAATCGCGAAACACGATCTGAACGTTGTTGGTCGGAGAAAAAGACTGCAGCAAAAGAACCCTCTTCTTTCTCTCTTTTCTCTTTTGAAAGCTCTTTCAAAAAACCTCTCTTATGTTCTAATGTCTTTCAAAGACAATACTAATGACAATTAATTATTATCTCAATACAATCCTCTATTTATAGAGTTGTGCTTTTGCTTACAAAGTCAAAACCAACTACAAATAGGATTACAATTCCAATCATTTTCCTAATAGA